ACTGGGCTGCCAGCGGGGTTCTAAGTCAGCACAGAAAGAGGGAAACAATTCTTTTGGGCTGGAAGGACGCTCGGTGGTTACCCGCTGCCAGCCTCCACTTCGCGGGGAAGACAGGCAGGGAAGGCTGCATCTTGGCAGCGTGAGGGGACTGAGGGTCCACCTCCAGGCGGATGGGCTGCACTCAGAGGCCGGCTCCGAACTGCGGCTGCAGCAGGCAGCCAAACGCCTGTAGGCCAAGAGGAAGGACAGGTGGTCGGAACGTGTCCTCAGGCGAGACATGTGGACCCCAGTGGGCCTCCTTGATCTCTCCGCTCATCTGTACAGTCGGGCAGAATGCTGCCTGTCCTGCCCACCAGGGAGCTTTGGTTAGGAGAGCAAGAGATAAAGCCTGAGAAACTTCCCTAAATGCTGAACCACAACACATGATAACAATCCTGATTTGCTGAACACTCAGGGCGGTCCAGGCGTGTGCTAAGCACCATTCGTTATCACAGCACACTAGGAGGTAAGCAAGATGTGCCCTGCGTTGTGCATGGGGAGGTAAGGCTTTGGTTAGATGGTTTATCCATGATCTCACAGATGTGAACCAGGGCTAGCTGACCCTCACACCCGAGCATTTCATTATCAGTATTACTATACCAATATTATTAATAATACTATATCGATACTATATCAATGGTACTATATCAGTACTAGCAACATAATACTAATAATACCATCATACAATACTATATTATATAGCAACGTAATACTATATAGTGGATATTACTATAGCACAGTAGTACTTACTACGCAAGTACTATATTGCCATGTTACTATAGTATGTAACATAGTAATACATGGTATACCGCATAGTACATATCACTATTTATGTAATAATATAATAATACAAGAACATATAATAATTCCACCATAGGCGATGCCACAGTCAATGGTAGTTATTAACATTGCATACATGTATAACCAAAGAGCACTATTAGAGGAGATACTTAAATTATATGAACTACAAAACATTTTTAGTACTTTCCTAATTTTTTAAAATTAACAAAAAGATTGCCCTTTAAACTTTTTCAAGGATATAGTTGTATTGGTTTTCACAAATTGTAGCCCCCTGCCCTTTTAAAGAATGAATTACTGAGAAAATAATTTTACTCCCAAACAAGGTTTTATCATTTATTTATTTAGCATGGCTTTCTCTAAAATAGTTTTCTTGTATACGAATGTATAATTTTTAAAACAACAAGTTTTAAAATATGCATAAGTAACTTCAGCTCACAGTCTATGATAAATGTGATTTGAAATTGAAATACTCCATTCAGATTGGGCCCATTGGCAACAACAGTTCCACATCTGGACAATTCACTGAAATAAATAATCTCCTGAGCAAATATGATCAGCCTTTGTTTCCGACAGACATTCAGTCAACCGACTTCCTATTTGTTTTCACTTTTTAACAAGCTGTGACATTTGAAAATAAATATCTAGTCCTTTACTGAAGAAAACTTTGATTTCTCAAGTTTGTGGGGGCAGGGTCGCCTTTAAAACCCGTTGTCATCTCTGTGTGAGCTATGACTAGATATGAAGTCTTCAGCGAGCGCCGGCAGCGTGGCCTGTCCACTCCCTCCCCGCCCCCAGGGGTAACGAGGACGGCAGGAGTTTTCGTGATTGGAACATTTTATTGTTTGTACTCACCTCATCATAAAAAAATCATTTATGGCAGATCAATATGACAAATGAGTGAGCCAGAAGATGGCGTTGAAGATTAGCAGTCAGGGGAGGAAGACCGGTGAAGTCTCAGAAGGTGTCATTCAGTGGCTGCTGTTTTGTTTGAAATTCTAAAAGTGGAAGAGGGAGAAAAGTGCTGAAACTAACTGGGCACAGGACCAACGGACGAAAGTGTGAGAAGCTCCAGGCCGCCGTTCTTGTTCTTAGCCACCCCCCTGCCTGTTTGTGAGCGCTTTGGGGAAAAATAGTTCACTGACTAAAATGTAACGCAGCAGGAGGGCAGCTTTGTTTACCGAAATATCCCAGTTCCTAGAACAGCTCCCGACGCGTGGCAGGTGCTCAACACGCATTTGTTGAAGGAGCGAATTGGTAACAGCACAGGAAAGAACAGGTTATGGCCAGAGTTTCCTCTGAACAAAACCCTGCTGTTTACTACAGACACTCTGATCATGGAAAATTTACTCGGGTGAATAAAAATATGTCACCCTGTTAATTTCTGAGAAAGTCCATCCCGTTTCAGGAAAACTGTGCCTAATCTATGTCTCATTGCCTGTTTTGTTCTACACTAAACTTAGTGTTTTCTTTGGGTAGGAGATATTGACCCATCATATGAGATTAAAAGAAAAACTGAGAAATAAGTGAAATCAAAAGCTTTTCAAAAGTTGTGAGTTGACCTGGGGTGATGGTGGTCTAAAATCATATAGAAACTGGTGCTCTGACGGTTTACCTGAAATGTCTAAGTAAATAAACATGCTCGGAGTATCCAAAATGCTGTGGTGAACGTTTCGTGGACAGGTGTTCGGGCGATTTAACTTTGATACTAAGGACAGCTTGGAAATTATGCAGAATTTCTGGTCCACTTAAAAATTACCCCTCTTCTGGACATTTATACTCCACTAGTAAGTTGCTTCCTACCCGGCTGAGGTTAAAACTATGTCATTTTAAGGTGAAGTCCGGAAGCAAGTCAGCCCTTGGATACTTCAGGACCCCCCCCAACTCTCCCCTGCAGCCATCGCTGAAACTTTGGGGGCTCTGCACTGTCTGACCAGGCACCGCAGTTCACCAGCTGAATAGACGCAAAAGCCTGAGCCCTTCAAGCGCGCGGACTTCTGTGAGCCACAGCTCGCGGCTGGGGATCTGGGCCATTTCCTTTCCCTGGAGGAGCGCGCCCTG